TGCTTTGCTTAATAACTATAGTTCTATTTTTAATGAATTATGAGTTATTGCCTTTTGTTAGTTTCCTTTCAAAGTTCGTGTTCTTTTAATGAAAAGAAAAAGAATTTGACATTACAATTGCAACATTTAAAGAGAGGTTGTTCATCTTAAAAAGTTGCGCAGTGGGCAATCATGATGACTTTTCATGTACTTTTAGTTATAGCCTAAATGATAACTTTTCATGTTTTTTTAATTATCACCAGGATAATTATCTTTGTTATTCTTTGAGTAACAGCAAGCGAGATACTCTCTGAATTTTCTTGGAATAATGTCAGAATGACAACTTTTAATACGTTTCCAGTAGTTGTCAGAATCATATCTTTAAATATTCTTTGAAATACTGCCAGAATGATGACTTTTAATAATCCTTGAGTAATCACCAGTGAGATAGCTTTCAATATTCTTTGACTTATTGCAACATCTTATGATTTGTTTTCAATTACCACCAATCTTAATAATAATGTTGATAATTATTTAGATTGAAATCTTAAAGGGACTCTAGTGATATTAAAAACCTAAAAATTTAAGATTTGAATTTCTTACATACATGAGCTTGGGTAATAGAAAGTTGTGCATTGATAATTAAGAAATATACTTAGGAATCAATTGCAAAAATTGAGACGGTTTCAATGATTATAATACTTACTCTAGAAAAAACGGAATGAGCGGTTTTTTTTACATTTTGCAAAAAAAAAAAAAAACAATATTGGTCTCGACCTCCATCGAAATAACGGAGTATTATTCTCGAAAAGTTAAAAAGCCTCACTGGAGTCCCTTGTAAGTAAATCGGTCCTTAATTAAAGGTTTGTTATACCATATCTAAAGTGAAATTATGCCCATCCAATGGTATATAGTGGGTAAAGAAGTAAAAGTCAAAATAAGTTTACTTTTTGCACTAATTCTTCTTATTGTTATTTTGTAATTTGCATGAACGGAAAATAACTCACGTGACCCAAGGAAATTTTTGTAATATCAATTGAAATTTACCCGTAACGTTCAATCCATTAAAAGAGGACAGTCTGTTTATACTTTAGTCAAATTTATATTTTATCCTTAACATTAAATTGTTTGGCAATCACTATTATAACAGTCGATCTTTTGAAATAAAGACGGTATTCAGCTCATCTTGTCTATGAAAAACTGAACATAATGTCACTTAAAATTGTCGACAGTACTTTCAATTACAATGAAATAATTTTTAAATGTTAAGTGTGAGGTACATAATCCTATATACTAGATAGCAGATATTCATTTGTTCTAGAAAAAAAATCAATTTTTATCATACAAATGTTCATACTAAATCATTTAGAACTTATTATTATAATCAATATTGTTATTCAAATACATTTTTGTAACGATATTCAAAAAAATGTATTAATGTTGTTTATATTGATATCTAAAAAATACTTATTGAGAAGGTGCTCATTCTAAACAACTTATTTTAACTATTCTTAAAGATACTGTCAGAATGGTAGCTTTCAGTATTCCTTGAGGAGAACTTATTCTATAAAATATTGAAAGATTAGTTCTTTCAATATCCATTGAGTTATTTCCATGTAGCTTTTTATGCAGAATGTTTGTTCGGACAAGAACTTAGACAGTGTTTTAAATCACTTACCGTGCCGCTTTTGCGACTCTGTAAAATTGGTATTGTGCGGACGTACATTTGTTTGAAAATGACGTCATTTGCTTTATACAAACATAGCGTCGTTAAGACGCACTAATTAATAGCTTTACAATAAAAGCTCGTCAATGAAAAAGTGTATTTTACTGTAAATAATTCTTAGTTTGGATATGTGATGAATAGCATTATAATAATTGTGTAGGTCCATAACTATATTTATTGAATATTATACTCCGATATTAAAATCATATTTAAATTGTTCTTTAGCATACACTCATACATTATCCTCTATAACTTCGTACAATCATGGTCTCTTCATTCCATTATTAATTGCTATTTAATTTTGACATGTATAGTGCCGTCACATTTTCGATATTTGAGATATTGACAGCATCCATACATGCCATAGATTGAGAATAAATGGAGTTCAGAATAACGATTCATTTCATATTGTTTAATGATTGCCGTGTATTTTTATTTTTTAAATATATCAGTTATATTTGTAAAGATATAATATACTCAAGTTTATTTTTTTGTTTCTTATTTATTTTTTACTCAATTATGAATTTATTTTGTATTATCTTTTTGACATTTGTTTATTAACATTTGATTTGAAATTATGTAAAGGAGAAAGGCCGAATATGAGTTCATTCTTGCGAAATAGTTGACACGAGGCCCTGAGGGACCATGTTTGAATTATTTCTCTGGACTGGAAAGGTACAAGGACCCGAGGGACCACTCAAAACACCCTTGTATGTTGTTGTTTTTTAGATTTAATTTCCTTAAAGTTTTTGATGTCAAACTGTACAATGCTAGTTCACTAAAGTTTTCAGTAAAAGAGACTCTATACAAACATAGCGTCGTTAAGACGCACTAAATAATAGCTTTACAATAAAAGCTCGTCAATGAAAAAGTGTATTTTACTGTAAATAATTCTTAGTTTGGATATGTGATGAATAGCATTATACTAATTGTGTAGGTCCATAACTATATTTATTGAATATTATACTCCGATATTAAACTCCTATTTAAATTGTTCAATAAATTAAGTATTTAACATACACTCATACATTATCCTTTATAACTTCGTACATGATACCTTCATTCCATCATTAATTGCTATTTGTTTTTGACATGCATACTGTTTGTACCCTCGCAAATGCCGTCAAATTTTCGATATTTGAGATATTGACAGCATCCATACATGCCATAGATTGAGAATAAATGGAGTTCAGAATAACGATTCATTTCATATTGTTTAATGATTGCCGTGTATTTTTATTATATCAGTTTTATTTGTAAATATATAATATACTCAAGTTTATTTTTTTTAGTTTCTTGTGTATTTTTTACTCAATTATGAACTTATTTTGTATTATCTTTTTGACATTTGTTTATTAACAATTGATTTGAAATTATGTAAAGGAGAAATGCCGAATATGAGTTCATTCTTGCGAAATAGTTGTGACGAGGCCTAAGGGACCAAGTTTGAATTATTTCTCTGGGCTGGAAAGGTACAAGGACCCGAGGGACCACTCAAAACACCCTTGTATGTTGTTGTTTTTTAAATTTAATTTCTTTAAAGTTTCAGATGTCAAACTGTACAATGCTAGTTCACTAAAGTTTTCAGTAAAAGAGACTCTACACAAGATCTGCTAATGACATGTTAACAGTCACGTGGGGGACATAGGCTATTTTATTGCGTTATGCACTTTGTCAATTGAAAATAAATCTACAATTAATTGTAACAAGAGATATAGAAATATAAATATATGAATAGCATTGAACAATGACCGACGGAACATGTGTTGAAATTTATTGAACATCATACATTGTCATTATATATAACAAATTGGCATTACAATATCTATCTTTAAAAAAAACAGATACTTGATTACAACCCGTTTACTCTTGAATACCTCTATCAATTGATCTGTTCAAACACCCTAGAAGAGAAGTCTTACATAAGAGACGCATTTATATCCCTTAAATGCTTTATTATTAATAGTGATTATGTCGTTTTGTTATTTTTTATAAAAAAGGAAACTTACCTTTCGAACAAGTTCTTTACTTTGTTTTTGAATACTAATTTTTATGAAATATATTATGTGAGATTATGCATGGAGTACTTTAAATATGCATGTTCTTGGATTATTTTTCTGTAAATATATGTATTGTATTTCTTTCTAGTTAAATAAAAACATGTATTTTTTTTCAGGATTGATTTAATGATGAAGTTCTTTAAAATGTTGTTTTTATTAATAATAAACAGTGTGATTAATATATAGTATTACTGATATTTTATTTAGTTCATTTAATACTGACATTTAAATGATAATATCCAATGCGTTTTAATGACAATTTCCAAGGTGTATTTTTAGTGATAATCCCAAATGTGTTTTTTAATGATAATCCCCAACGTATACGTAAATAATAATCCCTGAGGTGAATTTTAATGATCATCCAAAAGGTGTATTTTCAATGATTATCCATAAGGTGTATTTTCAAACCACATAAGCTAAATTTAGGCCTTTAAAGGGAACCTCGCAAAGAAAGTAATTGTTATGTGACATATTGTTTCGCAAGTCAACCAAATGTAAACAAGCGAGATTTTACGCACGCGCAAAGTGTCTGCAAAGAAATGGTCAGCACTGCACAGCATACATTGCGTAGCGTCGCATAAAATGCTTACTTTACCAATGTCTGTTTAGATCTGCGCAGTTGTGCAAATTGAATTTAAGGGGAAGTGCGACCACACCGATATGCCGTTCGTATTTTTGTTCGTTTTATACAGGTACAGGACGGGTACACATAAGTCAATGGCGTTCAGAATCTAACCAATAAGTGTGCCATGAGTTTGACATAACTTGTCTTTTTTATATATAAACAGTGCTGACGCGCTCGAAATGGTTTGTCGTAATGCCTTTGGCATTAATAACTGATATTCCCATGGGACGATATATAAACTTTTAAAAAGCAAAGGATCATAAAGAAAGTCTAAAATAAGAGCATAAACATAGATGAAAAAATATTGGCCTCGAGAGGCCCGCATGACATTGATGTCTCTGGATAGGTGATATGTTTTTTTTCTGTATATAGAAAATATTATTCGAAAACCAAACGCCATTGTCTGGTGCAAAACGATTCACACTTGTCTGATTTTGTTGTAGATTAGCCCTATCATTAGTTATGAGGTTTTTCTTGAAAGCAATGTAAGTAAGAAAGCTCTAACAACAAAAAAAGCAATTACCCACAGAATATGCCGTCTAGATGCCCGCATGGAATGGCGTTTTCTAGTTGTTTTTTTAAGAATGATTGCTCTTCCTGTATATTAAAGAGTATAAAAAACATGTCTCGATATTTTGTCTTTGAGAAGTCTCATGAAAGCAGAATAGGTTCTACTGAACATTTTACTGTCGTACAGGGAGATGAAGAGCTTCTGAAAGAAATTGCTTAATCAACGGGAAGTAGTAAATTCAATGACCTGCATATCAAAGGCGTGGCTATAATGGCACGCTTAAGGGACTTCTGGGTATTACTTCTTAGACATGCAAATGAACAGTATTCAATATTATTCTCAGGGACTTTTAATCGGAAGGGCGGTAGCATCATATGTTCACTAAAGACATTAAAAAACTAAAGGTTATGTTAACGATGCTTAGCTATACCATATATTCTAAATTAATTCATCCGGAGGAAAACAACTTAAAAGGATTCAAATGATTCAGCAGTGAGCCTTCATTTGTAGAAAGAAAAATGAATCATAGGAAACAAATTGTTATAATAAAGTTAATGCTTCAGCTGTGGTATTTGAAACCATTCTCCGATGTGAGGTATATATATCTGGTTATATTTCGTTTTAATGATATCTTAAATAAACCTGTCCATCATTTAATCTGGACAAACTCATTCATCCGCTTTAGGAAATTTTTCAAAATAATGCAGGTCAGAGTCGTTAATCTTGGCTTGTACTGGTTGCATTGGTACACTCAGTTGTCGCCAGCATGCTAAGTATTAAAAGTGCAATGCTGTATACCTATGAAAACGGTGAAATGTGTGGTTTTATTGATTTATAAGGTGTTGTATTATTCTTATTAGTCTTATTTAATATTTTAAATAATTGAATGATAAATAAATCTTGAGGGATTTGTTCTCTTAATCATGAACAAACATATCCTATCCGAGGTTTAGACTTTCGCCGCTTGTTTACTTGCACTATAATCCAACAAAAGTTTGTGTGAAACACTTATGCACCCCCTCCAACGGCAGTATACATTACGGGTAGTGTACATGTAAATGAAATTTACCCTTTGAACTTAAAATCAATAGAGGTCATCTGCCTCCTGATTTTTTCATTGTATTCTTTTTTTCCTTTATTTTATTTAATTATATGACCCCTGTAGTGATATGCTGGATGTGCATATCAGGCATGGTATGTTATTAAGCAAGTCTAATGATAATATACATTATCTAAATATCTTAATATAACCCATGCATCCTTACATAATTTATATAAGTAGCATGAAATCTTCCCATAAGTTCTGATAACTGAGCAGCATTAGGTCCTATGGCATCCACATTAAAATTTCCCAGAAATATTTCAAAGAAAATTAATAGAAATGGCAAATAATTTGGATTTTTTCAAAGTCCCAGCGGCAAAGAGCTGCCAAACATTGCTTGACCTATATATTAATGATAATTGTGTATACCAAATTTCATTGTAATATATGAAATCTCTGCGAAGAAAAAAATGGAAATGGCAAATGAATGGATTTTTTTAATTTAAGGGGCAGAACTCTGTCGAAATTGTCGATCGTACCCAAAACAGAACTTGATCTTTATATGTTTATGATAAATCTGTATTCCAAATTTTTTTTCATATTGTGCATAATTAACGGAAACTGCAAATAGGTTTTTCTAAGTCCATGAGCCATAACTCTGTCAAAAATTGCTCGATCGTACCCAAAACAAAACTTAATCTAATATTCTTATGTAAAATTTGTATATCAAATTTCATTTCATATGTTTTACCTTTGCGAAGAAAATGAACGGAAACTGTTGATGGACCCACAGACAGACAGACCTATAAGAATGTAGGAAGGTAATATGCACACTCTTCTTCGAAGCGGGCATAAATATAGATGTAAAGAAAAAGTTCTGTTATTCAACGCTAGAAATACTGAATTATTACCGAATCATGCAACGTTTAAAAAGTTGTCAAATTTAAAAGTATGTGTCTTTTAATGTGACCTCGTGCCCACCAGTGTTTGTTTGGGCATTGAACAGTTAAAAATAAATATAACTTGAACTTTTTCAATTTTTGTGTTCAATTATATATATGTACAATTAAAAAAAAAAACAATCCTCGTAGCCAATGGACATTTCTATAAATTTCATTCAAAATGTATCGGACATGCTTAAGGAGGTATATACATGAACATGATCTGTTTAAAAGCATTCACTATCATCAATATTCATTAAATATATACAAACAAGTACACCTTCAAATACTACTGAATATTTATTTATACTTGAAAAAGAATAGAGTATTACAGCACAAACAATCAATAGCTTGTCTTTTCAGGACTCAATTGAGTTTTTTGACATGACGGGACTGAAAATAAATACCCCGTACCATTTGTGAACACTAAAAATTTGCGTACAAATTTTCCCAGAGTAATCAATAAAATTGTGCAAAATGACACAAACAAAAATAGCTTTTCAACGATTTTGAATGAAAGTGGGCTGAGAATTGGACTAATTTTCAATTCAATTTATTTTTATCATCCAATGCAGATTTTCTTCTATTGGTACTGTTTCAGTTCATCAATTTCACGTTATTAGGCTTTTTAGTGACACTTTAAAAAAAAACACACTAAAAACAATGAATTTGTATGTGCTTTCTACTTCCTATGACACGTATCAATAGGTCGTCTCAAGAAATGCCTTTACAAAATTGATACACTGTATAAAGTATTTTTTACATACAGAATATAGCATTTTTACACAGAAGACATTATCAATCCATGTGTAGCAGTTAAAATCATACACATGTATGTAATTGTGAAACTCCATAACATAAACTTGTCACAACATTCATAGTATTTTTTCCAAATTCAACTGTGCCTTGTCCTTTTGTAAATTTTTTAGAATTAAAAGATTTTTTCTTGTTAAAATGTCCGGTTAATAGTGGCAATTCAGATTTTTTAATACTGTAAGATAAAGTTTGCCGTGAAGGCAAAGGAATCATGGGTTTCTTTGATTAAGTCGATATGATTTCTTAGTTTGGTCTGATTATCATTAATTTCAATACAAAAGTAAATGCAAAACAATACAATATAACACACAATACAATACAAAAACGATATACAACAATGCAGTATTTGTTGTGTAATGCAATACATTGCAATACAAATATAACATTTCAGAATTTATCTCAGTTGTCATCGGGACCATTGATCTGGAGTTCCACCAGCACATTCATACCGTCTTCTGGTTTGAAGGAACTTATATCTGGAACGAAACACAATGAAACACCTATATCAACAGCATAATATACATGTAAATGAAATCGGTTAATTTATGTTTGTAAAGCGCAATTTGATATTAATGTGTGTATTCTTTATAAATTATTTATAAGCAAATGTAAGTTTGAAATAACTTCCATATCTTACTATGTTAAAATAGGTGTAAAGGATATTTGCTATAACATTTAGATTTTTGTTTAATTTTAGTTGTATTAGCTATTCACTCCTCTACAAACTTTTGAATTAACGGTTTTTGCACTGGATAGCAGCATTTCATTCGAACATATTTCAACACTGGATTTTGGATCTGAATGCCTCCAGATTCATGATAATTTAAAAAACATGTTGAAAATGTTTTAAAAAGTAAACAATTTTCAAGTAAAGAACAAGTAATCTACAGACTGCAAACAACACTTTCAATTCACGTAAATTACCAAATAAAAGTCATAATTTGCAAAGAAGCCCTAACTGCAAAATGTCATTCATTGCATGTAGCATGCAAAATATTAGTTACTTAAAATTACTTAAATTGTTAGTTCTTATTAATTAGCTTAATAATTTTTGTTCATCAAGAGGCATTTTTCCTTAAAAAGTAATCATTTCAATAAGTTAGGATTTGAGATGCGTCATTCATGTTACATATTTGAAATCTGAACAAACTAGTCTTGTAGATAGATAATCTGGTTGTTTCGAGTACGACAAAGTTTGACATTACAGCAGAACTTTGACGTTATTTGGTAAAGTCATTTGTTCCACAAATCATGTTAATTTTGATAAAGGTTTCCTCTGGGAAAATGAATGAATGATAAAGCGATTAAAGCATAAGGGATAAACGTTAAAAAGACACCATGTTCGTGCGGAATCTTACCGTTTGGCGTTGGTCCAAATTGAGTTGTTATCTTCCAGGATGAGTTATCAGCTAAAGGCGTTGCTTTTGCATCATTTATTGCTTCAATTTTATATCCAAAATCAGAGACGTATGTCGTAAATCTAAAATATATCACTTGTCTGTTATAATTCTGGTTTCATTACTTGCGTGCAAAAGGTCAAGAGATAAAATAGATTGTAAAAAGGCAAAAGTCTTTCAAGTGATTCCTTTTTGTTTACAATATTGTCAAATCAACATGTTTAAGTTTGCATAAGTAAACGTTTATGGATCATTAGATGATGGGAAACATACACGTAAACAACATATAGATGAAAAAAGGAAAAATAGCTGAAAATTAAGAGAGATAAGTTCCGTAGACTACACCACAATATATGTTTGCGTAACTTTTAAACCTGCCGAATTAAAGAACTTGATTTGCAAAGTTGTAAATCTCAAATAGTTAATTTAAAATTTCAGGCATTTCGTTATCACAAACTAAGCTACTAGAAGTATTGGGCCTTATTAGACTACACGGAATTATTACAGGATTATAGCTATCCATTTAGGGTATCTTTTATTATACAATTTTATATTAGAGTAATTTCAAAATGCACGTGTATAAACAGATCCTTTATCAATTAAAAATATTTTTTATTATTTAATGGAGAGATGGGAAATTTGAAGGGTATAACGCTATATCTATTGAAATATTTTACATAAATTTATAAACAGTAATATATAATACGCAAAAGATTTGTAAAATAAAATGTCTGTAATTTAAGAAACATGCATATTGTACGAAAACCGACTAAAATGAGCTGGAACAAAATAATTTTGCTGCTATTTAAGTAGTGTTTTAACCGTTCAGTGGTGATTTTTTACTTGCACCATTCACTTTTAAAGAAGTATAACATAATTGTTTTTTTTCAGGCAGTTTCGAAGTTTTTTGTTTTTTGTTTTGTTTTTGTCCATCAAAATAAAAAAGACATGTTTTGCTGCAGATATATAGCTTAATACTCTTCAACAATGGATAAAAAGAAAAATACTTTTCCATAAGTCCATTGTGTTCAGCAACTGCCTTTTCCATGTACTTAATCAGGGGACAGTTTTCATCTTCAATTTCCATGGAAACGCTGTTGTTGAAAAATGGTTCTCGCAGCTGATTCGTCACGGTAAATGAGAAACGTTTCCTATGCACACGAATGAAAACAAATTATTTTCAAAGTATATTATATTGATACATTTTTCCATCTGAAAAATCTGATAAATAAAAAACATTTTGCTGAATTTTGTTCTGAAAACTATCTGGAATGGCTAAACTAAGAAATTAAATCCGAGCACCAATAACAGTAAAATTCTATATTTATTTCACTATAAATACTTTGCTTGAAATAAGTGAAACAAAATAACACACAAACACCAACACTTTCAAAATTCAGTAATCTCAAAATGTTTCTGCAAACGGTAGTCTTAACAACAGTTTTTTTCAACTGACTGGAGCAGCTTTTAAATAACTTTTCTTTTGAACACTCTGAGGCGGAAACAAATTCAACCACCACATATATAGTCCAGCTATTTTTTTTCTCGACGTGTTAGAATAGAAATTGATATTAAAACTTCATGTATTATTATGGAATAATAATGCACGGCTTTTGTTGAAACGATCAATTTTGCCTCGACAATAAGCGGATTTTTTTTCAGAAAAAAAAAATTGTACAATCATACCAATTTATTTGTTTCGCAATTTCCTTCTTTTCCCTACTTTGATATTTTCTTTTTGCATGTGCCTCTTTCGTTGGATCAATCTCTTCTAAAGACCGCTTGATCGCTGCCTTGTCATATTTCTTTTCCTCATCTTTAAACTTAAAACTGATTTCCTTTTCTTTTTCTTCTGTACATGATTTGGAAATTTTAACATCATCACTCATCGTTGGCATGGTATTCCCCTGTCCATCCAGCTTCTCTACCTCGTCATCGGTGTACGTATCTATTTCATAACATTCATTATGATTAAGAGATTGACTGTCACCGTGTAAAATGAAACAGTTCAAACGAATAAGGATCGATTATCAATCCCTACTATGTATGTTTCAAAAGAATATTACAAAATCAATAATAGCTAACCATCAAATATGTGGACATGTTTGGATCGTTAAATCAGTTGAAATGAATTCAGACTAAATTAGAGAAAACAACAGCTGTCACGCAAAAGTAACGAATGCCCCTAAGAAGGTTTATTAGGCATTGCAGAAAGATATTTTGAAAAGAAAAGAGAATGCAAGTAAGTAATTGCTGAATATTGTTCCTGTGAAATGAAGTGCTATTTATAGCAAACTTACCACGTCCCAAGATCTTGGATGCGATATATTATCTTGATGTGGAAGACATTTAGGCCAAGTTATTTTGAAATCCTTCAATGCATAACAATGTAACTGTTTGGAATCTAATGTGTATCTTCAAACTCTTCTTATGAGCATATGTACCTTCAAACTATTAGTGACCTTGATATTGAAGGTAGGAACTGGTGTCTTAGTCACAACATGTCGTCTCGATCTGGCAGACATTTGTGCCAAATTATTCTAAAAGGCTCCGATGCATGACAAAGTTAAAGTCCGGATACAAATGTGTATTTTCAAACTCTTCTTGAGAAAATGAGTACCTTTTATCTGTAAGTGTAACCTTGGAGGAAGGGACATGGGTCTTGAACGCGACATGTCGTCTTTATATGGTAGACATATATGCTACATTATTAAAAATCTTTATTAAAAAGTTACAGTCCAGATACAAATGTGAGCACCTATAAACTCTACTGTAAGTGTGACCTTGATATTTTACTAACGGATGTTGGTCTTAAATAAAACATATCACAATGATGTGTTTGACTTTTGCCAAGTAAATTTAAAATCCTTCCATGCATGACAAAGCTACAGTTTTGACACAAATGTGTACCTTCAACCTATTCCTTGGCCTTTTAGGTAGTGATATTGGTCTTAGCCGGAACATATTGTTTTGATGTGGTAGACATTTGTGCTATGTTAATTCAAAATCCTTCGATGCATGTCAAAGCTACAGTCCGGACATGAATGTTTATCTTGAATCTCTTCTTGAGAGAAAAAGTTCCTTCAAACTATAAGTGTGACATTTACCTTGGAGGTATTGACATGGGTCTTCGACGCGACATGTTGTTTTGAGGTAGTAGACATTTATACCAAGTTATTTCAAATCCTTCGATGCATGAAAAAGTTACAGTCCGGGCACGAATTGTGATAAAGTGAATCTACAAAATGTTTGTGTGACCTGTCCCTTTAAGGTAAGGACAAGCTTCTTAGCCGCAACACATCGTCTTGATATGGTAGACATTTATGTCAAGTTATTTTAAAATCATTCGATGCATGACAAAGTTACTTTCCGGACATGAATGTGTGTTACAGCTGTTCACTCTAATTGTGATAATGTGAAACTTCAAAATGTAAGTGTGACCTCGACCTTTGAAGTAGGGACTGGGTTCTTAGGCGCGACACATCATCTTTATATGGAAGACATTTGTGCCAATCTATTTTAAAATCCCTCAATGTATGACAAGTTACAGTCGAGACTCGCATGAAGTTGTGACGCACAGACAGATAGACAGACAGAGACGGACAGACAGACATACGGACTGTGCGATTTTAATATTCCGCCGTTCGGGGATATAAAAATGCTTACGCCATAAGATACAAATAAATCAACAAGGAATACTGTTTTTTAGAATACTCACCAAAGATAACAATCAATTTCTTGTACAAAATTTTATTAAAATTTCATAATTGACACTGACATTATTAAAAATAAGGGGGGTCAGACTTACAATTAGTACAATTATTAAAATATCTGTATTGTCTAAAGTTTTTTTGTTTCTTAGTTTACATAAAGTTGAATAATAAGAACAATGACCAAGACCGTCAGGGTCACTTTGGGGTCAAAGTCAACCATAAATGATACAGTTTTCCAACAATTTTTATTTTGTCGAAGTATAAACAAAACGGTAAACATGATATAATTATCATAGTTGGTTTGAAAATAAGACCTTGATGGTCAATATTATTTGAAGATTTTATTTTTGTCATTGAACTCTTTTGCTGTGTTGTGAGATTAGTTTTGTCTAAGTATGAGTCTAATTTCGTTAGTTTTTAAAATTATGTTTGGTTTTAGAATGAACTACATTAATAAATGGATAACATAAATAGATACAAATATTATGTCAATATAAGTGAATGTCAATTATTTGACACTCAGATCAAGATCATTGTAAAGGTCAATGTCATATTTGAATCAATCAACATATCGTCACCTTAGTGCAAAAACTCAATAACTGCATATAGATAAAGAAGCAGATATTGAGTTCTTGCACTAAGGTGACGATATGGGTTTTGTTATATTAAGTGATTTTTGTTAAAGTACTAGTTGAATCCATACATAATAAACGTTATAAAATAAAAAATGATATAACAGATGTTAACGGCAATGAAAACGACACCTTGACTGTTGCAATACTTCGAATTTTCACTCGAAAACGACGAGCTATAAATAAAATGTATCAACACTTACCATCCATTTTGCGATTTACATGTGTATCGGAATGTGGTTGAATCAATAAATTCGAGCCACTGAATTCTGATTCGAGTTCTGTTTTCAGAAATTGTAGACAAGATGATACTTCATTGTTGTAGTCTCCCTCGAAAGATTCGCTTCTTTCAGATCTTATCTTTCGAGCTGTAAATGATAATGTATGCCTTCTGCCTTCCTTCAGTGGTTGCACGTTATCATTTTTCTTTTCAAAGTTGATGTTGAGTTCCGATAAATATCTATCGACGGATGATACTGAAATATAACAAGAAATGAAAATACTTTTAAATAAATTAGTTAGAACAAAATTCATTGTCTAATAATTTGTATCTGCAATTATACTTTAACAGATATTTTATTCAATATTATAATATCCCTTGAATTTTGAAGGTCGGATGCATAACCCTTTATAAGGGCGCAATCTAACAAACTGAAGGTTAATTGCAACAGTTATGACTTATCAAATAATGATACGAGTATCTAAATTTGAATATGCAGTTCTGTATCAGTACATTTCAGTTCTGCTTTCAACGTAAATATATTTACTGTATGTGCTTTTAAATAAAAGTAAATTTGAAACTTTGCTATATACAAAAGTTTTGTCAAAATAAAAAAAAAATATTACGTATAGCTAAATTGTATATTTTCATTTGAGAACACATTTCCTTACTTGATTCATCCAAAACATTCAAAAACTCGTCTTTATAAATAGTAGTTTCTAAGCATGACTGTCCTCCACTGACATATTCGGTTAATGCTTCATTTAAATCTGTAAGATGATTGTCCATTTCTCCGTTAGTATGTTCCCTAAACAAGGCGGTAAGCGATTTAAAATTACTACATTGTATTTGCAGGTGTATGCATCCATGTGTAACTCTTGTGATTCTCCATCCTTTTTGATGAAATAGCTGGAAAGTTTTTTTGACTGCTGCTCTTAGTGTAACATACGAATTGGGTGGTATGCTGGATACAAAATCATTGTCCTGATCTATGACCTCTTCAAATAACTGTTGTAAAACATGAGACATTTTTTCTTCTTCGTCGTCACTGACATTTTTTAAATCAACAGACATGACAACTTCTGTAATAAGAAACATAGTAAAAGAGCGTTAATGGTACAAACATACAGTAATTTGCTAAAAAATGTATAGATAATGATGACACACATATAACATAACATAACATTCGTTTAAACAGTGTTATTGTTCACGTATTAAGTTTGTTAAAAGTATGTGTTTTACTTTTAAATTGATAGATTGAATGTTAACATTAAAAAAATTCTTTTAAGAAAAAAGCAAAGAAGATGCATACAAAACATAAAAATCAACTAATTTCTAAATTAAAATAAAGTTATTAATTTATAAACATTTGTCTAGACATAAGTTAGTGACCTTTTTGTCTCTAAAGCTGATTCGCATAAATAAAAAACCTGATATGTTATCACAAAGAAAACAACTAGTGTAAACAATGGCCTTTACCAGGAACAAGATTTCTAACAGAATCGTTTCCTGAACTTGCCATTTGGTCCAGCCTATTTTGAATGGCTTTTAACTTGACGTCTAGTGTAGCAAGTTCTCCTGAAACTGTAAATAAGATACGTTGACACAAATGCAGGAATGAGTTATTGGATACAGAATGTATTTAACCCATTACGCGATATACACGCCTTTTAACGCCTTTTTCACCCCCCCTTTTTTGTTGTCTCTTATGGTGAAAAAATGCCTTATTTAGGCCCCCAACACTTGTTTTTTTTTTGAGAAATGTTGTTAAAAAAAGTGACCACTTTTTCGGCGCGGTCCCCAACCAAAAGATACATTAGGGGGTTGCCAGAAGGAGGATGTGCCCCCTTCTGTTTGGGGGTGGGGGGTGAAGGGGGCGGAGTCCCCCTCATCGCCAAGAAAATTTTGAACTTGTGAGAGGCTGTAAATTACCCGAGATTGATCATAAGGTTACGTGTAACCAACGCTGAAAAGCATTTGACTCTATCTCAATCCATTGAGAAGTTGCAGCACTTTGAAATCAATTTTGATGGAAAAAATCAACGGAAAATAGTGATTTTTGGCAATTTTGAGATGTCCCCTCGTTGCCATGGTAACAGAAAATTTAAGCCTGAGCATGTTGTTTCAAGGGCAATGGTCCAGTCAACATTTGTGCCAAGTTTGATTAGTGTTGAAGCAGTTTTTATAGTATTATAGCAATTTGAACTTGTAACGGGAGACTTTTCAATGAAAACAGTCATTTTTACAAAATGCTCATGAAGTAATGGGTTATTAGCAAATTATATGAAAAAAAATATTATTCCGCATGGCAGTGTATAAATATATATATATACACATAGAAACACTAGTAAATGTTTGAACAGTAAATAAGGTTTGGAAACAGTAATACAATATTTCAAGGTATAAAGGTTTCGTACCGTGGTCTAACTTCTCATGGATGTCCATTTCCATCAAATAAGACTTACGAATTTCTTTAATCGTTTCGTCAAGTGAAAGAGGTCCACTTTCTATATTCTTGATGAAAGTATTGACCTCTATCTTCAAATCCTCGTCGCCGAGTTTCTCCAAGATTCTACCAATAATCGCTTCAATTTTGTCAAATTTGTCCTTAAACTCGGCATTTGTGATTTCCGCGTCGTTCATGTGAAAGAGATCATTCCGTACTTTTCGTAATTTTTGTATATCATTCTGATCAAAATCGGGAAGATCACAGAATGAAGTAAGGACTTTACAAAAAAGTGATAAATCCCAATTTGAAAGCACTGTTTTCCCGTTTTGAGGAAAGAGGATATTAAACTGCAATTTTGAAAGCTTTGACTTAATTATAATTTGCTTTTTACTGTCCAAAAATGATGAAAGGGTCCATTCATTTGGTTGAGAGTCACTTGGTTTAAGTTCTTCAACACGCTTTAAAAGAAGATATTGACATGCTTTTGTCCCACCTTTGCAAAGCATTAAGCACAGTCTACAATGTTTTTCAGTTCCGCTTGTTGACATCTTGATACAATCTGAATTTTAAACAAAAACGTGGTGAAATAAGTGATTAATTATATATAGCAACCCATTTTTATCCCCCGCCGAAAAGGCGACCGGGATATAGAAATAGTCTCCGTCCGTCCGTCTTTCCGTCCGTTCTTCCGTCCGTCCTTCCGTCCGACATTTTTGTCCGGAGCATATCTCAAAAAGTATTTGAGGTATCAACTTGAAACTTCAAAGCTGGATGGATCTCATTGAGGAGGAGTGCAGTGCACAAGAATAATAACTCTACTCTGCATAATTTTTGAGTTATTGCCCTTTGTTCTTTTTCATACTATTTTGTCCTGAGCTTATCTCAAAAAGTATTTGAGGTATCAACTTGAATCTTTATAGGTGGATAGATTTTACTGAGGAGGGGTGCAGCACACAAGAATGATAACCTACCCTGCATTAATTTTCAGTTATTGCCCTTTGTTATTATCAGCCATCAGTATTCACATAGGTTTCAAATCTGTAATCACTTCAGCCATCAGTTTCCATTACCAAAAGACCTCTTAAAATTGAATTATTCTGCTCTACTACATACACATTCTTCCAATGAGCAAACACATTCGGCGGGGGATGGCCAGGTTGACATAGCTTTTGTCTAAAATCAAATAAACTTTAATGTGTTTAACATTTTATTTAATAAAAGTTAAAAACATTTGAAATGTGAAATAGGAAAGAAAAAACAATTCTTATCGTGAACTTTTTAAAATATTGTTGGACGCATTTTAAACACCTCGAACATTTTTCTTCTTCTAATTATCAAACGGTTTAAGGTTTCATTTTGCTTTCATTTTCTATAAAATATTTTGAAAACTTTCTTACTAGTAATGAATACTTAATCATATTCTTGCATAAGAACTGCATACACAGGTATACATTAACAGAGGACTAAACACGATTGAAAGGATAGATTAGCGTGACCACGCACAATTGTTTTGCACGTTTCTGATATGCATGACTAAGGGCGCAATGTAAACACAGCTTAATACAATGACGGTCCCGATGTTTTACAATAAAATTATTTTTTGTTGTAATTTTAAATAATCTTTATCTAATGTCTGGGTTTGAGTGGAATATGACCATTATTATGCTAGATATTTGTCCGATAGGACTAAACCTACGGTATAGTAAACATATAACAAACCTTAACTTGAATTATAACATATAAAAACAAACTGAAACAAAAAAAGTATATGAGCGTAAATAACTAATAACAGGAAGTATCTTTACAGGATATAAGCTAACTTGCATATGCTATTTCTAATGTTTCGATACATATAGATGTGTTAGCAATGTTTGCATAACAATAGCATAGTAGTTCCTGTAATTAAGAAAAAAAACAACATTTTTGTAAAAAGAAATATATAAAACACAAAGAATAGAATTGTGGCCAACACATTACTTTTCTAAATGTTGGGGTCTGAAGCCAAATCTAAACTCTACACAGAAATAACACAATCTATTTTTGTACTGAATTATTTTGTTTCAGTTCATTTTTACTCTCAATGTAAATTCTTTATTATCATATATTTAATGTACTTTAATTGATTGGCGTTACATCAAAACGAAATTTGAAAAGAATGTGTATTAATGAGAACGTTTTGTTGGTTAAATACATCCATATATTTGCTACACGTACAGAGGGAAATGCTGATAAACACTAAAAATCGTGAACATAAAAAAGTCGCAAGTGATCTTTTATTTATAATATTACTTTTTGTTGCAATTGACAATAATTATTGATTAAACTTGGTTATTAATCTTTAAAAAAATTGAGCACTGAAAGATGTATGTGTTCCTAAATGAACTAGTCGTGCTTCGGTAAGGAAAGTCAGTATCTCACACAAACATCTACGAAGTCGGTTGGCAATCATATTTATAATATTTGATTGATATGCAAACATATATTTTACATAAAATATAAACATTATACCAATTAAGCACACCAATTATCCAATATTGAATTTGACACTAATTTTACATCATATCTAAAAAAGACTATCACGTCAGCATGACATACCAACGTAATAAGATGTAACCTAACCCGAGACTCAATATTTTGAATATGTTTATAAAGGGTCTATGCCTATCATTGATATATATTATTCAAGACCGAAATCTGAACAAAAGCTGTATTGATATGTTGATTATTTACACATTTATTTTATTATCATACAAAAGATTAAAGCAATTATGGTTCATTTATAGGGTTTTCATTTTAAAGGTGGCATAAACTGTCAATATGCAATTAGCTCACATTGGACAAGGATGATGGGATCATTTGAACAATGGCTCATAATTATAGAGGATTTGTCGTTATTTTTTTGTAAATATTTTAACCATTTTTATTGTAAACGTTGGACAGAACAACCCCAAATCCGAGGTCTATACTTGCAAAAACACATAGGTAATGCATTGAGGATTTAAAGAAAAGAATGATTTATAAACATTTGCTGTTTAAAGAACTAACACAATATGTTTATCTTACCAAATTGAAGACGATAGTTTAAAGATTTTCAATGTTATTTCATGATAAGAAACGGGATAATTTCAAATCAATTCAATTTTCAATTCAATTGTTTATTGTATAATAAGGCCTCCGGCCCATACACAAGAATATTAATACACATGACATTTTATCAAGTGCATTAATGTATAAGTAAGTAAATACACCAATGTGAACAATTAAACAGAGGTTCATATATCGACATTTTGCCTATAGTACAACATAGTATACATGAAAGTCTGTCTTCAGGTAGCTTTAACGAACGAAGCCAATATTTAACTAAACGCTTTGCAGCAAAAATGTACAATGGAAATCTACCTATATTACCTAAAATTGCATCATGATTATTACATGCACCTTTGTTTACTTTCATAAACCTTTTACAAGCAAAAATGTGTACATTTTCAATACAGTTTTGTTTCTTAAGACATCAAATTTCAGACCCGTACAATGTAATAGATGCAACCTTTGAATCAAATATTTAAAAAAAAATGTTGTATGGAAGACATGGATAATTGTACAATGAACTGAGTAAATGCAATAATACTTTCTTTGCCTTGAGTGGCATGTCCACTGCCATTTTATACATAGAAGGCTTACTTGAAAAGTATATTCCAACATAAGTAAAACAATTAATTACTTCTATGTCTACATCATTGTATTTTCACCGTTCTCTTACACTTAATCTACTTCCTTTGTTAAAAATAAGAACTTTTGTTTTAGCTGTATTAACAACAAGTTTACTAACTAAACAAAAATGTTTAAATATATTCATTTGCTTTTGTAGTCCGATAACTGTGTCAGAAATAAGAGCTATGTCGTCTGCAAACATGAGCAAATATATTTCTACAAGATGAGGAAACAATTGAATACCCCTTGTTCTGTTCTTACATAACAGTGAGTATAGTTTTCAATAAACAATGCAAACATAATAGGACTCAAATTAAAGCCCTGACGCAAACCGATGAGGCATTCAAAACTATTTGTTACACCATTGTTAGTTTTAACACACGCTTTTACAGAAATATATATAGACTGTATTGCATTAT